ATCATTTATGTATACATTTGTCTATATCTATCTCGATTCGTTTTGCCTGTTACAAACAACCGTTATGTGAACAAAGTTATAATACCCTTGTGCACAAGTGCGCTCGGGTGTAATATAACGAATTACCAGATATCCTGATAACCAGGCAAGTGTGAGCAAGCTCAATATTTTTTATAAAACTTTTTTTAAATGTGATGGAATTCACTATGGTCTACAATTTGTATTTAGCGGTATAATCCTCATTCTTCGACTTTCCAAATCCCAAGAAAAGTAATCACATTTTAGAATCCTCGCCGAAAGTAGTGAGAATAATCAATTTTTTCTAAATGTTTTTAAGTGAATTTTGCTATTAAAGTGAGAGTGTGCTTTGTTAAGGCGGATTCATCGTTTTAATACAGAACTTTCCTTCCATGTGGTTTTTGTTGCGTTTCTCTCCTAGAGAGAGCAAAACGACAACAACGACATGAAAGAAAAAGTTCAGAACTAGAACGATGAATACTTTTAATTGGTTTCAAAGTCATGCAGGGCTCAATCGAGGGGATTTTTTTGCAGAGGTGGCACAAAGCATTTAAAGCCGAAAAGTGTGGGACTTGCCTTTCGGCTCACCGCACTAAAAACCCACCCTGCTCCGTTTCCCTCCCACCGTGGAACTACCGTAAGGTATTACTTCGCAGAGGGGGAGCGGCCCATTGCCTTTCTATGAAGAGCTGCGGACTTGTTCCGCCAGACGCAATTAAGTTCAAATTGTGTTTGCTAAATTGCAAACCCCACCCCACCTTCATGCTCGAGTAATCCCTTCGATTGCAAAACTGCGGACAGACACTCAAACCGTGTTAAACGTCTTCAGCACTATCCTTTTTGATCGTCATTATGCTCAAATGGGTTTACCTTAATATGATTTGAAGCAACCATGCCTCGTAAATATTTGGGTCAGGTGTAAATCCACTTCCCCATGTTGCCTACTTACCAACTAGATACCTAGGGTATCCGGAGGTACGCGACTATCGTAGCTCTTATGCTGATCTGCCCCATTGCGCCCAAATTTCGGTGTACGAATGGTTATCTTAGACCTATGGCACACCGCTTTAGCGGTTGGAACGGCCTAGGTGCCAATCCGCGTCTACACTTCGGTTGCACAAATTTTAAAGCCCTTGTATCGGCGGTGCCGATATGCGGTTTAAATGTCAGCCTTGTTTCAAAAATGATGCCGAGATATTTATGCGTCTCCGCCGATGTAATTTCAGTATCACAGGCTTTAATGGTAGCTACGTCCTTTAACTTCCTACTACTAACCAACACTGCCTCTATCTTTTGGTGTGCCAACTCTAGGCGTGCTTCTTTCAACCAATCATTAACCCGAAGGATTGCGGAGTTTGCTATCTTGGTTACATCACACATGTGTTTGGCAACTACTATCAATGAAACATCATCTGCGAAACCAATTAATTTTCTCCTCCAAGCAACACCGTCGCACATTACGTTCCAGAGCGTTGGCACCCCGCCATCCTTTTATTCGTAGAGTAATACTGCTTCTATCGCTGCGACTAATGTGAAAGTTTTCCCGTAGTATCTAGCATACAAATGGGGCGGTATACCGAAGGATCTTCCGGTGGTTTTCCTGTTTTTGGTAGGAGGACTAATCAGTGCTGCTTCCATGTATCAGGGGACACCCATTCTTCAAGGCATGCGTTAAAGGTATTGACGAAGACTTCGAGAGTCGCCTTTGAGATTAATTTCAGTACTCGGTTTGGAATGTTGCCAGGGCCTGATGATTTACGATCATTAAACCCACTTTCAGATTTATCACCTCTTCTGCTGTGACAACCGGGAGGGTGCAGGCTGTTGTTGAAAATAATTCTCTGGTAATGGCTGGTTTTATTGGAAATATTTTTTTATGATTTCTTCAATCTTTCTCGGGCATAATATCTGTGGTCGCACTAATGCTTGTAGGTTTTATATGACGGTATATGGTGTTCTGGTTCTCGCGTCCCTATTTATGCTGTCCATGACTATTTCAAACTCTTCGAGACTGAAGCTGGGTGGTATTTAGCAGCTGTAAAGGACCAGTTCTACAACTTTAACACAGACGAAGCCTACCTCCGCCTTGAGCTGTTCTATTTGAAAGGGCTTTCTAACGCAACTCCATACGGCAGATCGTGCGAGGTTCTCCTTGCCCCAGAGTTCAGATTCCGGCGCTTTAAGTGGCTCACTTAGCAACACTATATCTATACTTTTCTCTATTACAGTCTTCTCCAGGAACTCCTGAGCAGCCTTACAGTGGTTTAGATTTAACTGTTGTACATAGTTTCATATTCTTAACTTTTGCATAGCTTCTTTATAGAAAGGCCATTCCTTTCCAACCGTTTCATGTTTTGTTTCGGTCCGCTTTCTTCTACAGTATTTAATACACCTCCATTCCATTTTGCAGTCTTAGAATTTATAGTCTAGGCCTCCACAATTAAAGCACGTACTTTTTATTTCGTGCATCGCTGTACAATTCCTTGCCAGGTGGCCAAACTCAAGGCATTTGTATCACTGCGTAGGTTGCATCTTGGAACGTACTCGACAGATTACCCACCCAAATCTGATCTTGCCTTTAGATAGTGAATCGTTCGCCAACTTTACTGGTATCGGTAGAGTGACAGCTTTGGTCCCACTATAGGTTCTTCTCAAGGATTTAATTGCTTCCTCCGAGATTTCAATTCCATCCAGTTGACTTTCCAGGGCCTGACAAATCTCTTGTTTTGTTGCAAGCTCGTCTAAATCTTTGATCTCCACCGCCGTTTCTCCGGGCGCTTTCTTAATAGTTTGTTGAATCTCCTTAGTTTTAGAGTCGGTTGGTTTTGTCAGGAGATCCCCATTGGCTGTCTGCCGAATCTTCGTGACGATTTCTCCCTTTTGCAACTTATTATCAATGGATCGGGTCGAGGGAGCCTTGGCTTTGGTGCCTTTCTCCATTGCACTTTTTTCCATCGGCCTCACCGGTACGTTCTCTGTTCGTAGACTCTTGGTTGCTCACAGTTCTTCCTGGCTGGTTTTATTTCCTGGTCTCAGGTCGACCTTTATGATACAGCGTCAGCTGTTCGGCTATGGTTGCCAGACGTACTGATTTTATCAGTACAGTACTGGTTTTTCAACCGTCGTACTGATTTTATTTACTTCTTTAATCAGTCCGCTAATGTACTGAATTTTCAATCCTGAGAATACAAATTTGTAATATTGGTCTTCGCACTGGAAGAGTCCGACCGATTAATCGGCATCGGCACAAAATTGAGCATGGGCATCGGCATCGGCCTGTTTCGCCGATTCTATGGGATTTCCTTTCATATGTTCAGGTGAAGCGACAGACAACAGCCAACATCCAAAAAAAAAAAGCAGACAGCTTACAAAAATTATTTTTTTTTTTTGAAGGTGCTTCACGTTTTTTCCCTACAAAGGCATGTTCAACAATTTTCCTTTATATGGAGGACACTGCCAGAAAAAACTTGACAAAAATTAACGGGATTTTATAGCAGCTTGAAGCTTGCACTTCATTATACTAGAATTAAATGGTTTACAAAACTGCATACCAAAGTTCTGATTAAAAAGTTTTAAATTTTGGTGAAAATAAGCAGAATTGTTCTAACTTTTGTACAAAGTTTGAAATCTGAATTTATATTTATGGTGTTTGTTGTATACCAGGTAGACTTTTATAAAAAAAAAATAATAAACATTAAATAAACAAAAGACAAATGCCAAATGCCAAAACCGGTAAAAATATCGCAATTCTTTTATTTTGTGGACCACTATATGTATGTAGCAAATATGTCCTTATGCATTGAGTGAAAAAGAGCATATTTTGGTACAAAACGAAATGAAATTCTATGTTCCTAAATATTTCTTGCTTATCACCATATAAAAATGTTTGTTCTGTAGTGTACATAAATGTGATATATGTAGATATATTTTTACACATATATACGTATGTATGTACATACTAGCTTATACCCGCGGGTTTCACCCCACGTTTTTATACAAATATGAAAAATAATTTAATGATGTTATATTTTATTTCGGTGCCCATTTTGTTATAGCTCGTTATTTTTTAAGCGAGTTAAAGTATTTAGGCCGTCTAAAACTATGAAAATATAAAATCTCGTCTGCGCGCTAAGCATACGAAAGATACCAATCCCTCTAAGTTTACCTTAAAGTGGTTCCAGGGATACAACGCGTGAACGTGTAACCTTCCTGGAGGTGCCACGGCGGGTTCTAATATTTCCAACTCAAATTTAGTAACTTGGCCTTGATAAAATGCCTCTCCTCATTACTGTAGCAAATGCCTCAAGAGGTATGTATGCATCATGACAGCTTTACATTACAAGGCCGAACCTGGCTCTCCCTTTTCCATTAGATGAAATTTTTTCTGTCAGTGCTGCACTTATAAAATAAATCTCCATAACAAATTTAAAAAAAATCTAGAGATTTTTTATCCTTCCAGAGATATGTATTAAGAAATTTTTAGTATGTATGAGAGGCGACATGCCTCCTTGTTTACTAACTCACATTTTTTCTATGAGCAATTGATACATTTTGTATACACAACTCCATACCAAGGTGCAGTATTCTTCCACAAACACTTCCAGAGATATAATAATACTGCCTGCATTGTGTACAATTTGACTTCTGTAAATTATTAAACTTGCTGTTAATTCAAATGAATTAAATACCTGTCATTTTTTTACGTATTCGTATGTTCATGAATGTTAAATACAATTATTCAATGTAGAGCTTTTTGACGTTATTCATTATCAAGGAACGGATTTTTAGGACCTAGAACCCTTTAAAAAGGTAAATAAAATAACGGAGTAGGCAAAAAAGGCACTAGAAATCGCAAATAAGGCAGAAAAAGGCACACAAATCGCAAAAAAGGTACTGAAAAAAGACAAAAACCGAAAAATAATCAAAATATACCTGCGAATTTTTAACTAACAAAATTTAAATCTCTATAGTTGTAGTAACATTGAACCACTAGTTGCATTTTGAAGTTTTCTGCCAGCATTTTCATTCGATTTTCGCGAAGAAAAGCCTTGAATATACTAAACGTGCGCTCGACGTGAGTTGATACAAGTGGCGCCCAATTTAAATATGGATCGTTTAAAACTTTCATATTATCAGGAATAAGGATTTTGGCAATAGGTCCCTGTGCTTCTATAAACCGCTCCTCAATGTAATTAAAAATTAATTTTGTGTTCGTTTCTTAAAATGTCATACTCATTATTCACTCTTTAAAGCTTTGTCAGGGGCGACCGTTGCCCCGAAAACCATATGGTTGTTTAAAACGAATATATTATCCAATGAGGGAGCAAGACAAGGACAAGGCAAAAACATGCCTGTAACATAAAACATATTTTGCACCGTGGAGGGCCAACATTTTTTGGGAGAAACGAAATCACCATTAATGTTTGCTTAAGTATTCCAGTACTACTGACACACTAGGTTTTTTTATACATACATACTAATTTTCGTAGCGCTGTTTTCCAATCTAGGCATTTATTTTCTATTATTAAAAAAAAATTAAATGCAATAATCACTTTTTTTTAAGTAGAAAAGGCAAAAAAAGGCAAATATGTATCTTAAAAAAGGCAAAAAAAAGCCAACATCAAATGTGTACATATCGAACCAGGGAAAGCTAAATCGTGTACATTCTTAATCGAATATACTCTATCTCTTTAACAGAAAAAAGGCAATTTCCATAAAATCCGTTCCCTGTTCATTATCTTTCCCGTTCCAAAGATAGTCGAGGTTGATTACGGTAACGCAACATGATGATGACGATTCTACTTTAATTCCATGATATTAAAATTATTGCGCGACGTTCGGAAAAACACGCAGAATGTTGGTTGTCTGATGAATCCATTCGAGTTGTCAACTGCGACTTTCCCATGCCCGATGTTCAACAATTGCTTCGAAAACACCTCCGCACTGCGATTTCGTTGCAAAGACAGCCTCATGTAGGTCGTCCATGGGAGCGTCTTCACATTAGGAAACAAATTGGATAATTTTAAGCACGCATTTAGTTGGTCAATTTCAGTTGATCATGTAATAACTGGATGTGTCTGATTGAAAATCGCCGGGCAACAGAATCAAAAATGTTTTGGTTGTTACGAAAATCTTACAAAGTTCTGTCCAGTCCCTCCAGTGACCTCTTGTGGGCCATCGTGTATCTGTTCCAAACGATCAATTTGCTTACCTGCAGAATCTTCGCGGTTGCACTGTTTTAAGTGATGTTGCAAGCTGGGGTCTCGTTGATTTGGACGTTCAGTGGCAATTTCCGCCTGCTTTATAACAAAGTCACTGCTATTCCAGATGAAGCTAATGCTAAGCCAATTTCATTCTGCGATCGTAGCAGCAAAATTAAAAATGTTTTTCCAGTCCCTCCGGGAGCATCCAGTGACAGGCCTAATAAAGATATGTATTACTACATCAAAAAGTTGTTAAATAACTTTCGCTTGATACCTTTACATATTGCAATACATATTTACTTAGTTTATGTTATAAATTTAATTGAATTAAGTTTTCGAAACAGGTGGAAATCCGCCTCAAAAATATTTTCAGCAGAAAGTTTTCTTAACCCTTAATTAGGCGCATAAAGAAAATCACACAATTAGTCGCATGGCGTCCCGTGTCACCCCAATAAAAGTGTTTAAAAATGAGTTTTACAAAGTAAAAAAAGGAAGTGTGTATTATCAAACAAAATTTAAGGACTCTATTATCGTTAACTTAAAAAAAAAAACAAAAACATAATTTCGATATTCTTATTCTTCGATGATATTCTTATTCTTCTTTATTGGCGCTGTAACCGCCTAGGCGATTTTGGCCGAGCCCAAAACAGCACGCCAGTCATTTCTCTTCTGTGCTAACTGACGTCAATTGGAAATGCCAAGTGAAGCCAAGTCCTTCTCCACCTGGTCTTTCCAACGCAGAGGAGGTCTTCCTCTGTTACCAGCATCGTGGCCCGCGTTGAATACTTTCAGAGCAGGAGCGTTTCTGTGCATTCGAACGACATGGCCAAGCCAGCGAGCCGCTGAATTTTAATTCGTTGCACTATGTCTACATCGTTGTAAAGCTCATACAACTCAACGTTAAATCGTCTTTCTCTCGAAAACTCCAAGAGCCGCTTCATCAGATGCTTTCATTGTCCATGCTTCCATCAGCACAGGCATGATGAGTTACTTATAGAGTGTGATCTTTGTACGACGATGATGTTCTAGCCGTGACTAAATAAATAAAATGAAATGTGTATTGTCATAAATATTAAAGCTCTATATTATAGTTAACTTTTAGAAAGAAAAGTATAACTTTGACTTCAAACTTAGATACAAAAATAAAAAATTACCTCCGCCAAAAAATGTTACCTAAGTGGTCGCATGGTGTCAGGACTTAAGAGAGTAGCGACTCATGTGTACGCGCCTATGTTCTGCGCCTAATTAGGGGTTAAAATTCTCAAAAATATTTTCGATAGCAAGTTTTCTTAAGCCTCTTTGGTTTGATACCCGTATTGCAATATTTAATTTATCTTACCAATTCAATCCAATAAAATTTTCTTAAACGGGTGGCAACGCTCCTCAAAAAATATTTTCAACTGTAAGCCTTTTAAACCTCTTCCTTTTGACGCCCATATTCTAATATCTACCTTATCGCATTACTTTACTTACATATAACTATAACCGTTTCCAAGTTTTAGCGACACTAACGGATATGTATTTTTGATGGACGGCAAAAAATTTTACATTTCATTTTATTTTGGGTCTTTTTACTTGGATTGGGAAATTTTTATGAAGTGGCAACCGTGCTATAACCTACACTAAGTTTTGTTTCGGGTGTATTTCGTGATTTATTTTTTGTGGCACCATGTAATCAATGATTTTTACGAGCAGTGCATGAGATGTGTAACTAATGGAAATTAGAAACTACTAGAAACACATGATTTCCATCATATCAATTGGGTAAGGGCCAATTTTTTTTATTTTTGTTAAGAAATCTCCAAAATAGGTTTTGTATATCGCACCGATTTCAAATCGTATGATTTGCAGAACATGCCTAATAGCTTTTACTAAAAATTCGATTTTAATCGATTATAATTGATCTTTATCAATAATTAATGTAAAAACATCGATGTTGTGAAAATCGATTTTTTGGCAGCTCTACCGTATACAACGAAAGACAGTCGGTAACTGTCCTGGTTTATACAATAAACTGTATACAGTGGGAAAATGTAATGTATGATAATCGGAAAAATAATCAGTATAACAGCCGTTTTCACATGTTTCCCATGTTTCACATGTTCTAAGAAGAGTAGGGCATTAAATTTTAATTAAATTTTGCATTACATAGAGTCGGGGGATGAATGTGATTTAATATGAATGTTTTGGGACTTTTTGGACTCGAACTAATAAGAAATAAATTACATTATTTATCACGCATGCAATGCATTACTACTTTTCCCGCTGGGTAAATACATATATAATGTACTTGTAAACATAGTTGCTTGATTAATAGCCCGGCCCTTCTGGCTGAGGTAAATTTTAATGTTCCCTCTCGAGTGTCAAGACACTTTCGACCTCTGTTTTTGAAGCCATGCAAAACTAATTTTGAACTAAACGAATCATTCCGTTGTTTATGTCAAGATTTTAACTCTCATTCCAGCACGTTTGACATATCGGACTCGATTTTTGCTATGAAGTAAACTATCATTTCCACTCTCAATAATTGAAATATGTACTATCTTTAGCACATCCAATCAGCTGATGAATTTAATTCTGTAGCTTTAGATCTCGACACTTAACAAGCTCCAGTTTCCACGACTCGGCACCAAAAAACAAAAAAAATTAAAAATAATGTAAAAAAAATATTTTTTTAAAACGAGCTTTTATTTAACATGAACAATCAATAGAATAAAATAAAGTAGTGTAACAAAAGATTTTTTAGCAATAAAATTTTGTAAAAAACTGCACTAAAATTAATAAAATAAAATAAGTTAAGCTTTCGTTAAAGTTACTAAAAGCCAAATAGTGAAAGGAGTTACTCAAACTCTAATGAAAATTATTAACAATTTGTACTGGTTTACTTCGTTTTTAAAAAAGTTAGTCACGCGAGAAGCGAACCGCACTTACTTATCTGCATACATACATATGTATGCATGTACGCTGAATTCTTAACTTATTTTGTTTTATTAAGTTCAGTTTTTACAAAGTTTTCTTGCTAAATAATCTTTTGTTACACTACTTTATTTTATTCTTTTGATTGTATGTACATGTTTTATTTTATATAATCAGGACACATTATTTTTATTAAAGTCAGACTCTCCATTTATTAGCATAGCACATTTAATTTAAGCTGCGTAAACCTTTTCGATCATCTGTTTAGGCTTCTTAGCGAAGAAATTGTACGATGGAAAAAATGGCTTAAAGTTGGCAACTGTTGAACTGAGCGGAACCACCCATCTGTGCATTTCTAGGACAAACAGTCAACGGTTAGAAAATAGCTATGTAAGTATTATGAACGCGTCCAATGTGTCACGAATTAGGAGCATAATCAGAAAGAAATCGGTGTCTTATTTAATTTACGCATTCAGCTCAAGTACAAACCACACACCCGGTAGGTGCTCTACAGAATTCATATAGAAATATCACAAGATTAACAGATCATTCAAACTAATTTCCGGTATATTATCTTACCAAAAAATTCACAATAGAATCTATCATAACAGTGCCTAAAACTATATTACTTAGTTGCGCCGCCAAGTTACGCTCTGCTATCACTAGAAGTACTGAAAACGCTGTAAAAAGGCTGTTAAGCAAAGATCACACGATTTGTACATTTGTACACTTTGGCCGACACAGAGTGGTGTTGTTTAAAAATTTAAGTTCAGCTCAATAAAATAATTTCCGAACAACACAACTCTGTACCTGCCAAAATGTACAAATCGAGTGATCCCTGCTTAAGATGGAGACAAACATAGGAAACTGCGAAAACGTTAAAATTTAAAGCTAACACAAGTGCATAGTATACATTTTGGTTTATGTTTGTTCTTTTTGTGGAGATTTTTGCCAAATTATTTAGAAATTTATACACACTTATATAAGAAAAGCGTACCTGCTTTCGAGCGAAGTAGTATTACTAAGAATATTACTATAGCATTCTGTGGAAACATATCTGTGTTCGTATGGAAAAGCAGCTTATGTCGAAAGGCTGGCTTTAGTATAATGCGGCGTTCCCTTTATTCTTTATATAACAAGGAATTTTTTGATGAGACTTAATAAAAATATTGACTTGCTAGTATCGGAACTATTTTTTGCCCGTTTATTTGCCAAAAGTTGTGCAACGGCACAGCGCCAGCGAGTCATTCGCAATGCTGCGAATGCCGATTTATACTAAAGCCAGCCTTTCGACATAAGCTACTTTTCCTTACGAACACAGCCATGTATGTAAGTTAACTACATGCATACATATCGTCGATGTTTTTGTAAAACCGTCCATCGACCAGTTGAAAAACCGCCTAAGTCGTCATTGTGACAAAAATGAGATTTGGTAACCTTGACTTCCAGGCAACCAGTATTTTTTCCGGAAGAATCGTAAAGTCGTTATTAAAACCACAGATTTGTAAAATAACAGCTAGAGAAAATACCGCCTGTCAAGGCAACGCCTTCAAAGAAAACCCGTTTTTTCGCTCGCCTGTAAAATTATAGTGCCGTATGATACATAGGGAATTTTTGCAATTATGTATTTGATTAACAAACTTTTACATAGAACGCTGAAACCAAATCGCAAACGCACTACAGAGAGTTTCACGCTGTCAAATGACAATTGACTAAGGGCCGGTTGTTCAATGTCTGATTAGCACAAATCGGAGGTAGAAGATACGGTTAGATTCAACGACTGCTTTATCGATCACATGTTATATGCATGATGTTGAAAACGGTGACAGGTAACAAGACCAACGGAAATAAGGCCAATTGACTTTATTTCTCACCCTGGTGCGAAATAAAACCAACTGACATTATTACCTTTTCAAAAGCGAGATAAAATCCATTGACATTATTGCTCTTTCAAACATTAAATTTGCTTCGCTTCGCGGCGGCCCGCATCCGCGCGCTACACCACGTCACGCTACGCCGCCACAGAATTCTTTCTGTGTTCCTCCGGGGTTTTTGGACATTCAATTTAATAGTGTTCGCTTTATTTTTGTGGAAACGAAACATATTTTCCAAGTTCTGGCAAGTAACCGTTGGTAAAATGTCGATAATTACGATTAACTGGGAGGTAGTGATAACCAGACATTAAAAAAACGGTCCTAAGGGCCGAATGCTCAAAGTCTGGTTGACACTAATCCCCGGTTAAACATCTTTATCGACGTTACCGACACCGTGTTATAAGCATGTAGTCGATAACGATGTTAACGGATGATTAGTGTCAACCAGGCTTTGAGCAGCCGGCCCTAAGGGTTGTTTTCGCCATCTCTGGTTAACACTAACCTCCATTTAAACATCGTTATAGACGTCACCTACTCTCTGTTATATGCATAGCAGTAGCGCTCTATGAGCAAACAGCTGCTATAAAGATTTTATATTGGTGCTTTAAATAGAAAAGTTCTTTAAATTCTATCTTAAACTGAAGCACCTTCACCTAAGCTAATCCTTTTGACCACTTCAGTATGTTCAGTGATAGAACGATACCAGTACCGAGTACAGAATATCGATACTTTTCATGAGTACTGAGTAGTATCGAGGACTCGATACTTTTCGACAAGGACTGAGTAAATATCGCGAATACCAAAAAGTATCGACGTTAAAAAAACTTGTTTAGGTAAAATTTTCAATTACATTGAAAAATGTTTAAAAATTACCCCATGGGCATAACGCTCATTTACTTCAATACTGTCATAACTCAAAAAACCGAAAAATTAATATACATATATTATGTTATGGTGAGCTACTGGTAATCGCTATGAAGTTTTTATACAACATAGAAGAAGAGGTAGCACTCATGTTGACATTTGGCTCGGTTAAAACTTCTTAAATAATTGGAAAACGAATCTCTTGACATACCTTCGATAACACAGGCCCACACAAAAAAGTGGTCTTTCCTTTTAACCAGACCCACATATCGACATGTACTGAGGTCCATTTGACTCGTACACCTCCTAAATTTGGAGTTAATTGCGAAAATTGTGAAAAAATGGCAAAAACGAGTCAAACTGACCTCAGATTCGGATTCAGTGGGTCGAAATACGTGGCGGAAAGTGGGTCTGGTTAAAAGCACACACCATATTTTTTTGTGCCGGTGTAAGGAATGGGTTAGGACGGTGGACTTCGGCTCGATAACTTGGAAATTCTCCAGAAAAACGGAGCCTTCGTTTTCCAATGTATTCTACCTTGGTTTTGAATTCGAAATCCACCCCGCTTTCGAAGAAAATTTTTGTGAAAGGGAGCTTATCTTTCCTTTAGACAATGGCTTTAGTTCAGCGATGGGCAGAGAGAGCTTTTACTCTGCTCACGCCTATACAAAATGTATAGAAAGCTTAAGAGAGCCTTGCCCGCGGGCAAGGCAGTGCTTTAGTTGCTTTTAAAAGCTTCAAATAAGCCTTTTGCTATAAACATTTATTTTACGCTTTTAAACTTATTGCAAGTTCTTTTCCAAAACTCTGTTAGAAATATTGTTAGATCAGACTTCAGCTATTAAAAGCAGTGTCTATTCAATTCACAAAAAGAAAGAGGTCTTATGTATATGTAAACAAAGTAATCTGAATTTTTTAACTTTTCGCGTTTGCCCTAAAAATACTTGGAAGTACAAGTATTATCGATACTTTTTTGCAAATATGAGTACTGGCATCGATTCTTTTTAGAGTATTATAAATGAGTACTAGTATCGATACTTTTCTAAAAAGTTCTATCATTAGGTATGTTAATTATAGACAAATGTTTTCCGTTTGCCTTTAACATCCCATGGCACACGACTATGTAGCATTATCCGCATCGCCTTAACAGCCCTGTAGGGAAAACACGAACTAGTGAACCAAATTTCTAGTTCAGCACTAGTTCTTTTTCGCCAAAAACGAACCAGTCCGATAGTAACTAGTTCCGCGTCAGGCCAAAAGCAGTGAAATGTGGTACTTTCACTAAACTCTTTTATTTCAAATTTTAAACGCAGGGAAGGTAATAATTATGAGTAAAATAATTTAAATCAGCATTTAATCATTATTTTATGAATTATTATTGATTTTTATTTTTTCGCTCAAACGGAAATAATTATTATTTGATTTTTATTTTTGGGATTACAAATAATGATTATTTTATGATTTTTATTTTTTCGCGCAGAGATTATCATTAATTTTGAGTTTTATTTTTCCACTTAAAAATAATGATAATTTATAAAATTGAAAAGGCCATACAGACGCAACCTACTGAAATTTTTACCTGAAAAGTTTGGGTCTTATTCCTCTCATAAAGGTGCGGCTACCTCTCAAAAGGATACGTCGGTAATCACGCTGGTATAGTTTTTGAGTTATTTCAAATAAAATTCTCTTCTGGGATTTGTTTTAATTATTTCTTTAATATTCCCAATAAACCAGTTAATTCTTCAACAAGCAAAATGTTAATGAAAAATTTTTAACATTCAACTTCAAAATTGAAAAAGAAAGTTATCATATTTCACAACAATCTTAAATCTAAAAATTTAAAGTATTATAAAGTCAAGTACATTGGATAAAATATTAAATGATAAGAACCCTACATTACTCCCCCTTCCAGAGAATTTACGTTAAATAAGTTAAATGTGACTTTCTTTTTTGTTCCAATATTGTTGTGATAATTAGTGTTAAATTCTGGTAAAGTTTCAATCATCGCTGGTTTTAACCTGTCAATCGGAATAGTTTTGATTTCATTATCAATTTCTATTTGAAAATACTTCTTATTTTTTTCAATAACCTTATATGGCCCTTCATAAGGTTGGTGTAAAGAACGGGTATTAACTAAACGTACAAAAACAAATTTGCATGTTTGTAAATCTTTCGGAACGTAAATACCAGCGTTGGTACTATGATGATTTAAATTCGAGTGTACATTTCTAAATTTTTCGCGTAAACAACCCAAAATTTCAGATGAAGTTGAGTTTTCAGAAGTTGGAACAATAAGTTCACCAGGCAACCGTAAATTTTGTCCGAAAACCATTTCAGCAGGTGTAGCTGAAATATCCTCTTTAAAAATTGAACGTAAGCCCAACAATATTAATGGTAGCTCATCATACCAATCCCTGGTTCCATTTCTAGCCATAATGGAAGATTTTAATTGCCTATGAAAACGCTCTACCATACCATTAGCTTGAGGGTGGTAAGACGACGTTGTAATCTGATGGGTTCCTAATAATTTTGTTAACTCTGAAAACAATTTAGAATTAAATTGAGTACCTTGATCATTTGTTATTTCTAAAGGTACACCAAAACGAGGAATATATTCACGTAAAAATTTATTCACAATTGTCACTGCAGAAATATCTCTTAAACCGTATGCTTCCGGCCAACGAGTAAACCTATCAACTATAGTTAAAATATATCGATGTCCTTTTGAAATGGGTAAAGGTCCTACAATATCTAAATGAATGTGCTCGAATCTTTTTTTGGTATTGGAATTTTACTNCTCCGGCCAACGAGTAAACCTAAAAACTATAGTTAAGATATATCGATGTCCTTTTGAAATGGGTAAAGGTCCTACAATATCTAAATTAATGTGCTCGAATCTTTTTTTTGGTATTGGAATTTTACTCACTTGAGACTTTGTATGCCGATGAACTTTAGATTTTTGGCAACTGATACATTCTCTTGACCATGCATTAATTTCTCTATTCATGTTGGGCCAAAAATACTTTTTGATGATTAATCGACGAGTAGCTTTGGTACCCGGATGCGCTATACCATGTAACTTATTAAATACTGTTTTTCGCAA